GCTGGCAAAAATCGTTAATTTTCCATTGTTTACTGTTACACCCTTTGCGTTTCCCGCCGTTTCGGCGGTCCGATGCACCAAGAGGCCCCAGAAAGTCCCAGGAGGGTCCGAGGAACCGCCCAGGAAGGCCCCAAGACGGGCCAAGACGGACCCAGCACAACCCAAGGCGCGCTGCGACGGCTCAAGACGGCTCCAAGACAGCCCCAAGAGGGTGCCAACACGGCCCCTGCTGGGCCCAGGACGGCCCAAGGAGGCGCACAGGAGGGGCCCAAGACGACTCCAAGGCGGCCTCCTCACGGTCCCAGACGGCTCCAAGACAGCCCCACGAGGACCCCGATGGGCCCAGGACGGCCTACGGACGCGCCCATGAGGGGCCCACGACGAACCAAGACGGCCCCATCAGGGCAAACGGCGCCCTCAAGACGGGCCTAGACGGCTCCAAGACGGCCCTTTGAGGGAGCCAACGCGGCCCCACACCCTTCGGGCGCACACTTGGGGGGGCTGGGAGCTTGCGACAAGTCTCCCACATTCATTGTCCTGCCCCATTCTGTTCGCCTGGAGGCCTCCTCCAACCCTGTGGGCGAACAAGAGGAATCCCAGCGGGACGCCAACCCTGGGGCCCGTGGGCCCCGCGCCGCTTGGGCAGAAGACGAACGCCGGGTCTGACAGGCCAGCTACCGCCCCCCTTTGCCCGATATGCTGTGCCATTCTGTTCCCCCAGGGGCCTTGGCAAACTCTTCGGGCCAAGCAGACCGGACCCCTGGGACAGCAGCCAATTGATATGACCCTGGGACCTCTCCGCATTCTTCGGACGAGCATCTGGGGGGCCCAGGAGATTCGGACATGTCTTCCCCATTCCTTGCCCTGTCCCGTTCTGTTCGCCCGAAGGCCTCCACAGACCCTCTGGGCGAACAGAATGGGACATGGCGAACAAACCCTCCCGTTGGCGGTGATGCGACTGGATCGCACCATCAAGGCGCGCCCGGAGGTGATGGCCGACCCAACAGCGGTTTCTCTTAAGAGTTCACTGGATTTCAAATTTTCTTGAAGCTCTCTTGGGCCCTCCCTGTAGATCCTTGCGAGCCTCCCCGGCGCTTTCGGTGGCTTTCCCCGATGGCCTCCCGAGCCCTTCCCCGAGCGCTCCTGAGACGCCTCAGATGGGCTTCGACTTCGACGCACATCCCCGAGAGACTTCGAAACTGTCCTCAATAGGAGGGGGGTGAACGAGCAGTGCGCTGGGCCAAGCTGCTGGAGCGCTGCAAGAGCTCGGACACGAAGGCGCGGTCTCGCTGCCGCCGCCCGAGCCGCCGCCGTGTTTGTAGATTTTCGGTACAATCTGCGCCGTTCCTCCGAGAACCATTCCAGAAAGATGTCGTGGACGGAGTCCACGGGTCAGCCCTAGTCTCTACTACAACGCTGGGATCAGCGCGTGCGAGAAGGGCGAGCAGTGGCAGCGGGCGCTTGCGCTGCTGAGCGAGATGCGGGAGGCGAAGCTGGAGCCCAACGTCATCAGCTACAACGCTGGGATCAGCGCGTGCGAGAAGGGCCAGCAGTGGCAGCGGGCGCTTGCGCTGCTGAGCGAGATGCGGGAGGCGAAGCTGGAACCCGACGTCATCTATACTATATGGCCGGAGGCAGCGCGTGCCGGAAGGAAATCCAGCCAAATGACTAGAAACGGCTCCAAGACGCTCCGGAGGTCGCCCCGACGGCCCAAAGACGGCTCCGAGCCGCTCAAGATGCCCCGAAGGCGGCCCAAGAGGGCCCCGAGACGCGCAATGATCCGGCCAAGACGCCCAAGATTGGCCCAAGACGGCCCAAGAGCTCCCCAAGACGGCCCAACAGGCCTCCCAAGAGGCATCCCAGGAGAGGCCCGAGAGGCCAAAATCGTGGATTTTCATTAGTTTCCCCGAGGTTTTTTGTTTCCTCGCTTTTTCGGCTTCCCGACGCTCCGAAACCCTCCCAGAGGCATCCAAGACAGCTCCAAGACGGTCGAAGAGGTGCCCAAGAGGACCCCAAGACGGTCCAAGAGGGCCCCAAGACGGTCCAAGGCGGCCCCAGGACGGCCCCAGAGGCGCCCAAGACAGGCCAACGGGACCCCAAGATGGCCCGAAGAGCGGCCCAAGATGGCTCCAAGACGGCCCGAGGACCGCCCAGAGCTCGCCAAGACGGCCCAATAGGCCTCCCAAGAGGCATCCCAGGAGAGGCCCGAGAGGCCAAAATCGCTGATTTTCATTAGTTTCCCCGAGGTTTTTTGCTTCCTCGCTTTTTCGGCTTCCCGACGCTCCGAAACCCTCCCAGAGGCACCCAAGACAGCTCCAAGACGGTCGACGAGGTCCCCAAGAGGACCCCAAGACGGTCCAAGAGGGCCCCAAGACGGTCCAAGGCGGCCCCCGGACAGCCCCAGAGGCGCCCAAGACAGGCCAACGGGACCCCAAGATGGCCCGAAGAGCGGCCCAAGATGGCTCCAAGACGGCCCGAGGAACCGCCCAGAGCTCGCCAAGACGGCCCAATAGGCCTCCCAAGAGGCATCCCAGGAGAGGCCCGAGAGGCCAAAATCGCTGATTTTCATTAGTTTCCCCGAGGTTTTTTGCTTCCTCGCTTTTTCGGCTTCCCGACGCTCCGAAACCCCCCCAGAGGCATCCAAGACCGCTCCAAGACGGTCGACGAGGTCCCCAAGAGGACCCCAAGACGGTCCAAGAGGGCCCCAAGACGGTCCAAGGCGGCCCCCGGACGGCCCCAGAGGCGCCCAAGACAGGCCAACGGGACCCCAAGATGGCCCGAAGAGCGGCCCAAGATGGCTCCAAGACGGCCCGAGGACCGCCCAAAAAGGCACTAGGGGGCCCCAAGACAGCCCAAGGGGCGCGATAGACGAGCCCAGAGAGGCCCAAGAGGCCCCCAGGAGCCCAAAAGAGGTCCCCAAGAGGTGCCACGGGTATTAAAAAGTGCTTCGAAGCGAGGGGGGCGGACGAGGGGACCGCCTCTGGACGGTTTGGGGCCTCAAAATCATCCGCTTTACGACGGTTTTGGAAGGATTTTGGCCTTCTCGCCCTTTCCACTTTCCGACGCTCGAAGACGGCCCAAGAGGCCTCCAAGAGCGCCCCAGAACGGCCCAAGAGGTTTCTAAGAGCGCCCCAAGACAGCCCAAGAGGGCCCCAAGACGACCCAAGAGACGCTCAAGACGGCCCACGAGGGCCCGAAGGCAGGCCCAAGAGGGGGCCAAGAGAAGGACCACGGACCGAAAATCCGAGCCTTCCGCCCCAAGAGGGCGCCAGGAGGCCCAAACAGGCCCCCAAGAGGCCCCAAGGGCCGCCAAGAATCCCCCGAAGAGGCCCCAGGAAGCTCCCAAGGAGCCCAAAACGAGGCCCCTAACAGAGGCCCCAACAGCTTCCAAAATTGCTCCAAAGAGGCCTCGAGCCCGCCTCCGAGCTTCCTCGCCGCGAGGGTGCCAACACGGCCCCAGACGGGCCCAGGACGGCCCGAGGCGCGCTCAAGACGGCCCAAGACGATTCCAAGACGGTCCCAGGAGGGTGCGCCCAGGACGGCCCAAGGACGCGCCCGGTCGGGGCCTCAAGACGGGCCACGATGGCAAGAGAGCCCCAGCTGGCAAAAATCGTTAATTTTCCATTGTTTACTGTGACACCCTTTGCGTTTCCCGCCGTTTCGGCGGTCCGATGCACCAAGAGGCCCCAGAAAGTCCAGGAGGGTCCGAGGAAACGCCCAGGAAGGCCCCAAGACGGGCCAAGACGGACCCAGCACAACCCAAGGCGCGCTGCGACGGCTCAAGACGGCTCCAAGACAGCCCCAAGAGGGTGCCAACACTGCCCCTGCTGGGCCCAGGACGGCCCAAGGAGGCGCACAGGAGGGGCCCAAGACGACTCCAAGGCGGCCCCCTCACGGTCCCAGACGGCTCCAAGACAGCCCCACGAGGACCCCGATGGGCCCAGGACGGCCTACGGACGCGCCCATGAGGGGCCCACGACGAACCAAGACGGCCCCATCAGGGCAAACGGCGCCCTCAAGACGGGCCTAGACGGCTCCAAGACGGCCCTTTGAGGGAGCCAACGCGGCCCCACACCCTTCGGGCGCACACTTGGGGGGGCTGGGAGCTTGCGACAAGTCTCCCACATTCATTGTCCTGCCCCATTCTGTTCGCCTGGAGGCCTCCTCCAACCCTGTGGGCGAACAAGAGGAAACCCAGCGGGACGCCAACCCTGGGGCCCGTGGGCCCCGCGCCGCTTGGGCAGAAGACGAACGCCGGGTCTGACAGGCCAGCTACCGCCCCCCTTTGCCCGATATGCTGTGCCATTCTGTTCCCCCAGGGGCCTTGGCAAACTCTTCGGGCCAAGCAGACCGGACCCCTGGGACAGCAGCCAATTGATATGACCCTGGGACCTCTCCGCAGTCTTCGGACGAGCACCTGGGGGGCCCAGGAGATTCGGACAAGTCCTCCCCATTCCTTGCCCTGTCCCGTTCTGTTCTCTCGAAGGCCTCCACAGACCCTCTGGGCGAACAGAATGGGACATGGCGAACAAACCCTCCCGTTGGCGGTGATGCGACTGGAACCCACCATCAAGGCGCGCCCAGAGGTGATGGCCGACCCATCACCGGTTTCTCTAACGATTTTACAGGATTTCAAATTTTCTTGAAGCTCTCTTGGGCCCTCCCTGTAGATCCTTGCGAGCCTCCCCGGCGCTTTCGGTGGCTTTCCCCGATGGTCTCCCGAGCCCTTCCCCGAGCGCTCCTGAGACGCCTCAGATGGGCTTCGACTTCGACGCACATCCCCGAGAGACTTCGAAACTGTCCTCAATAGGAGGGGGGTGAACGAGCAGTGCGCTGGGCCAAGCTGCTGGAGCGCTGCAAGAGCTCGGACACGAAGGCGCGGTCTCGCTGCCGCCGCCCGAGCCGCCGCCGTGTTTGTAGATTTTCGGTACAATCTGCGCCGTTCCTCCGAGAACCATTCCAGAAAGATGTCGTCGACGGAGTCCACGGGTCAGCCCTAGTCAGCTACAGCGCTGGGGTCAGCGCGTGCGAGAAGGGCGAGCAGTGGCAGCGGGCTCTAGCGCTGCTGAGCGAGATGCGGAAGGCGAAGCTGGAGCCCAACGTCATCTCTACTACATTGCAGGGCCCAGTGCGTGCCAGAAGGGTGCAGGCTCCAATGCACCAAAACCGCCCCGGGCTGGCTCCGGGCCGCCCAGGGAGGCCCCAAGACACGTCCAGAGGGCCCCAAAAATCCCCCAAGACGGCCCCGGAGAGCCCCGGCACGCTTAAAGATGCGCCCAAGACGTCCGAGAGTCGCCCCAGGAGGCCCTCGAGGCGTCCAAGACGCCCGAAGAGGCCTCCCAAGACGGCTCCGAGCGACAGAAATCGTCGATTTCTACTGTGTTTTTCGGTGTTTTCGGCCTCCTCGCCTCTTCGGCTTTCCGACGCTCCAAGACGGCCCAAGAAGTCCCCCCGACCGCTCCAAGACGGCCGAAGAGGACCCCAAGAGAGCCCCAAGACGGGCCAGGAGGGCCCCCAGACGGTCCCAAGACGCCGCAGGACGGCCCCAGGACGGCCCAGGAGGCGCCCAAGACGGCCCAAGAGGCACCCAAGACGGCCCCAGGAGCGGCCCAAGACGGCCCAAGACAGCCCAAGAGCGCCCAAGACGCCCGAGATTCGCCCCAGGAGGCCCTCGAGGCGTCCAAGACGCCCGAAGAGGCCTCCCAAGAGGCCTCCCAAGAGGGCCCCGAGCGACAGAAATCGTCGATTTCTATTGTGTTTTTCAATGTTTTTGGCCTCCTCGCCTCGTCGGCTTTCCGACGCTCCAAGACGGCCCAAGACGCCCCCCCGACCGCTCCAAGACGGCCGAAGAGGATACAAGAGAGCCCCAAGACGGGCCAGGAGGGCCCCCAGACGGTCCCAAGACGCCGCAGGACGGCCCCAGGACGGCCCAGGAGGCGCCCAAGACGGCCCAAGAGGCACCCAAGACGGCCCCAGGAGCGGCCCAAGACGGCCCAAGACAGCCCAAGAGCGCCCAAGACGTCCGAGATTCGCCCCAGGAGGCCCTCGAGGCGTCCAAGACGCCCGAAGAGGCCTCCCAAGAGGCCTCCCAAGAGGGCTCCGAGCGACAGAAATCGTCGATTTCTATTGTGTTTGTCAATGTTTTCGGCCTCCTCGCCTCGTCGGCTTCCCGACGCTCCAAGACGGCCCAAGACGCCCCCCCGACCGCTCCAAGACGGCCGAAGAGGACCCCAAGAGAGCCCCAAGACGGGCCAGGAGGGCCCCAAGACGGTCCCAAGACGCCGCAGGACGGCGTCCAGGACGGCCCAGGAGGCGCCCAAGACGGCCCAAGAGGCACCCAAGACGGCCCCAGGAGCGGCCCAAGACGGCCCACGACAGCCGAAGAGGCGCCAAGGAGGGCCTCAGACGGCCCCAAGACGGCCCAAGAGGCACCCAAGACGGCCCGAGAGGGCCCTAAGAGCCCCCCCGGGAGGCCCAAACGAAGGCCGAAGAGGCTCCGAAACGGCCCCTACGAAGCCTTCAGTGCCTTCAGAATTCCTTCCAGGAGCGGGGGAGCGGACGAGAGGCGACACGTGCGCTGGGCGCCTGAGCGGCCCCGCCGCGGAGAAGATCGCAGGGACGGGGACATCACGATGGCGAGCACCCCGCGCCATCACGCTCCGCATGTGCAGGCGCCGTATTTTAGTTGCGTTTGCACCTCCTATCTTCGGTTCCCACCACGCCTCCTATCCCAATCACCTGAACTTGCTCGCACTCCTGGCCATGCAGCCGCCATCCCTGTTGCCGTCGCCGTCGTCGTCACATCCGTGAGCTGGACGGGGCCTTCTCAGCAAAGGCAGAGGGGGGACGGAACGACGACGACGACGGCCACGACTACGACGAAGGCAATGACGACGACGACGACGACGACGACGACGACGACGACGACGACGACGACGACGACGACGACGACCACGGCGGCAGCGTCGGCGGCCGCGACGGCGACGACGCCAGCAGCGACGCCGACGGCGACGGTGACGGCGACGGCAAATGCGACGTCGACGGCGCCGCCACGGGAGGGTCCCGACGAGGGCTCCGTACTTTCCCGGGCCCCCGAAGCAGACCGTCACGCAGACAGGCGCGCCCCGACGGAACCTCGCGGTTGCTTGCGTCGGGCCTCATCGGGGGGGAGGCGGCGGAGATCTAATCAGGCGGCCTCGTCCGGTTTGCTTTCTTGGAGGCTCGTGTAGCCGTCTCGGGCTCTGTTGAGGCTTCCTTGGGGGCCTCTTGGGGCCTTTCTGGTTGGGGCCCTCAATTTCGGGGGAGGCGGAGATCCAGTTCGGTGGGCCTGGGGTTTTTTTCCTGGGGGCCCTTGTGCGCTCCTCGGGAGTGACTGGATCTCGGGGAGGGCGGAGGCCCAATGAAGCGGGCCTCCAGAGGCTCCTTCGGGGGCTCTTGCAGCTGTCTCGGGCCCGTTTCGGGGTCCTCTGGGGGCGTCTAGGGGCCATCCTGAGAGCGGGCGATTTGATCTCGGGGAGGGCGGAGATCCAATCTGGCAGCCCCAGGGGGGGGCTCTCTCGGGGGCTCTTGGCGCCGTCTCGCCTGCCGTCCGACTGGACGCCGTAGAAGACTTCGCGTGGCAATCGTCTTCAACTCTTCACGCTTCGCGTATCCCTACTAGCCCATCTAAACCCAATCGCCAGGGGAGTTGCCTTGATCAGACCTGTGTAGCAGCATGCGGCCTCCCAAGGGGGGGGGCTCTCTCGGAGGGTCTTGGAGCCGTCTCGCCTGCCGTCAGACTGGACGCCGTAGCAGCCTTCGCGTGGCAATCGTCTTTAACTCTTCACGCTTCGCGTATCCCCACCAGCCCATCTAAAAGCAATCGCCAGGGGAGTTGCCTTGATCAGAACTGTGTAGCAGCATGCGGCCTCCCAAGGGGGGAGATAGTGCTGTTTAGGGCGGTCTTGGGCCTCTCTTGGTGCTATTTGGGGAGTCTTGGTGCCCTCTTGCGCCATTCTGGAGCCACCCCAACGGAGCCCCCACGGGTGCTACAACGGACCCCCCTATTGTAGCACCCGTCGGGTGTCCTTTATGAGCTCTTCTGCGGCCCCTGTTGGCTTGTGCTTCAGCCGTCTTGGGGGCTCCCCTGGGTCTCTCTTGGGAGCTGTGGGGCGCCCTGGCGCCCTCTTGCGCGATTCTAGAGCCTTCCCAACGGGGCCCCCACGGGTGCTGCAACGCACCCCCCTTTTGTAGCACCCGTCGGGTGCCCTTTCTGGGCTCTTCTGGAGCCCCTGCTGGCTTCTGTTTGAGCCGTCTTGGAGCTCTCTTGGGGCTCTCTTTGGAGCTATGGGGCGCCCTCGGGCCCCCTTGGCCAATTCTGGAGTCTTCCCAACGGGGCCTCCACGGGTGCTACAACGGACCCCCTTATTGTAGCACCCGTCGGGTGCTGCTTATGAGCTCTTCTGCGGCCCCTGTTGCCTTGTGTTTGAGCCGTCTTCGGGGTTCTCTTGGGGCTGCCTTGGGAGGGGCTGCGTTGGGAGCTATGGGGTGCCCTCGGGCCCTCTGGCGCCATTCTGGAGCCTTCCCAACGGGGCCCCCACGGGTGAAACAACGTTCCACCTTATTGTAGCACCCGTCGGGCGCCCTTTGTGAGCTCTTCTGCGGCCCCTGGTGGCTTCTGTTTGAGCCGTCTTGGGCGCTTCTTCTGTCTTCTTCGCTTGTCCTCGTGCCCTCTTTTGCCGTCAACAGTGGCGGCCAGCGTCGCGACAGGAGTGGAGGGGAAGGAGGCGGAGAAAAGAAATCAAGGAGGACGGGGGAGGCTCCTGCCGGTGCTGCGGCTGGTGGTGGTGGCGGTGCTGCTGCTGAGCCGGTGCTGCTGGTGGTATTGCTGGTGCTGCTGGTGCTGCTGCTGGTGGTGGTGGTGGTAAGGCTATTGCTGGGCTGGTGTTGCTGTTGCTGCTCGTGCTGGTGCTTTAGCTGCTGGTGGTGGTGTTTTTGCAGGTGCTGCTGCTGCGAATGCTGCTGGTGTTGCTGGTGCACTTCGTACTGGCGCTGGTGTTGATGGTTCTCGTGCTGCTGTGCTGCTGCTGTTTCTGCTGGTACTTCTGCTGGTGCTGCTGCTGGTTCGGGCAGCACTTGAAACTCTCTTGGGGTCTTTTGAGGGTTTTTGGATGTGTGTCTGACGATATCTTCAGCCATCTTGCGCTACATTCGGCCATCGTGCAGACCATCTTGCACTCTATGGGGCTCTCCGAAATTGAGCCCGACTTTTTCATGACTTTGTCATGACTGACGCCATGACTTTTTCATGACGCCGACCCCCAGAGCAGGGCTGGACCTAAAAGGTGGTTTGGGCGATTTGTGGGCCGGGTGGGCCGTCTTCGTTTCGACTTCGTTTTGAGGTAAAGGCGGATTCGAGACAAAGGCGAGGGAAAACGAAAACAAAAGCAACGAAAAGGAAAAACACCGTTTAGGTTCAGCCCTGCCCCAGAGGTCTCGCCTCCCTCCCCGGGACCGCGCAGACCAGCGGCCACCTCTCGCTGCTGCCGGTGCCTCGCGCGGCCCGAGCCGCCCTGCCGCGGGCTGCCCACGCGGGCAGGGCACATCGCGCACGGCACTCGGAGCTACCCCCGGAGGCATCCCCACAGTTCGGCCCCTGCCCCCCCTTGACAGGGCCCCCAGGGGCAGGGCCGGACAGAGTGCCTCAGGCAGGCCTCCCAGAGCGGCCCCAGGAGCGGCCCCAGGAGCTCGACGAAGTGACAACGGCGTCACCGTAAACCTTGGGCGCTCCGCGCGGATTTCTTCGATCCGCGATGGGACCGCCCAGCGGCGCTTCAGGCGCCGCCACTGGGGCGCTCTGCGCGCCAGGGAGGTCGGTACAGCGCAGATGCACGAAATCTGCAAAGAGCGCCAAAAGTTTGTGCTTATGCCGTTCTGTTCTTTCCATGAGCGGCACGAGACAATCCCACACCCTCGCGCTTGTTGCGCCTCCTTGCGCCTTTGCCTTTCGAGGCTCCAGTCGGCCGTAGCCTGTGTGGCCGCAGCACTTTCGACGGCCCAGCAGTGCCGATCGAGGGCTCGCAAATCGGGCCCCAGAGGACCGCC